CTGTCTCTCCTTTTCCTGTAAATACGACTTTCAAATAAAAATAAGTTAAAAAAGAAAATACTAATTCAAGGTCAGCAGTGTGGTATGGCTGGTAAAGTCACTGCCTGTGGTACCAGCATCCCAACTGCCATATGGGGCTGGTTGAAGTCCCACCTGCTCCACTCCACTCCTGATCCAGATCCCTGCTAATGAGCCTGGGAAAGCAGCAGAGAATGACCCAAATGCTTGGATCTGTGCATCCATGTGGGAGACGCAGATGGAGTTCCTGGCTCCTGGCTTTAGCCTGGCCCATCTCTCTATTGCAGCTATTTGAGGAGTGAACCAGCAGATGGAAGAGCTCTCTCTCCCTGTCTGTAACTCTGCCTTTCAAATAAATGAATAAATATATTAAAAAAAAAAACACTAACCCAAACTGTGAATTTGAAATCATGACTAAAATAAAACGAGCTTGAGAAGCAAAAGAAACATCAGTCTAACTTCCATACTATGATGCATTTTTACAAAAATAGTGTTATTAGGACAGTAGACCAGCAAACTATCCTTTCGCCAAAAATACATACATACATAAAAAAAAAATCCTAGCCAGTCCCATTCCTGCCAACCCCAGTAAGACACACTTTCGTTGGAATGCTTATTTATAGTTACCTCCTCACCATCCCAGGACCCAATCCACAGCACTAACAAGGCTAAAGCCAGACAAACCACCTGGAATGGTGGCTTCCCACAGGAGCACCAGTTCAAGTCCCGGCTGTTCCACTTCTGATCCCGCTTCCTCCAAAGGCATCTGGAAAGTCAGCGAGAGATGTTCCGAGTGCCGGGGGCCCAGCCACTCGTGTGGGAGACCTAGGAAGAGATCCCTGCTCCTAGCTTCAGCCTGGCTCAGGCCCAAACTGTTATGCCCATTTGGGAAGTGAAAATTGCCTCTTCTACTTTCTCAGGAAATCTGCCTTTTAAAAACACTAACATGAGAACAAGTGGCCAAAAAAACACAAACGGTGTATAGGTTGCCTGCTTTCCTGGCTGGTGGGCTGAAGGTCTCCACATGGCTACAGCATGCACAGCAACCACCCCACACCTGCGTCTGCAGAGCACTCGCGTTCAGGGGCACTTCCACTGTGCTTTCTCCCTCCTGTTAAATACGTCAGAATGCAAATAACAATGATGTTACAGTGATCACCTCAGGATCCTTGCATTCCATGAAAAGTGAGCTTGGCCCAAAATATTTGGGACCAGAAATGGTTCATATCTGAGCTTTTACTCTTTCCAGAGTTTGGAATACGTGTGTGTACACTAGGGGAAAGGACCCAAGCATAATAGGAAGATTATGCACTATATACGTATTCTATACATACAGACTGAAGGCAACTGCATACACTATTTTCAGTGTAACCTGTGCTTTGACGATGGCCAGTCATGAACTGGGGTGTGGAACCTTCCATTTGTGCCATCACAAAAGGCTGCAACCTTGCAAGCATTTTAGCTTTTAGGGTTTCGGAGGTGCAACCTGAATTAGCAAGTATTTCCTCCTAACACACTTCCCAAAGTTACTATGAGGCCACCCTTAGTGTCAACTGCGCTTGACCTATTATTCACCCCCACTTCCCCAGTTCCGGTTTTCTCCCAGGCTCTCAAAACCATCTTCCAAATTGTCTGAGTCAGAATGTACAGGCGCCGACTCCGCAGCTTCAAGATGGCACATCCGACTCAGCTTGGGTCCTGCCCCCAGAAATCCTGACATCACTATTCAGGAAGACCCTGGCATCAATGCATAAAAAAAATAAAATAAAATAATCCCCACGTCCACAAAACTCAGCTGCCAGGCTCTCCACTTCAGCTGGCTATCCTCTCATAGCAAGGATCAACGAGTGGAGTCTGAGAACGCTGCAAACCCTCTACCAGGGTACCACAATGCAAGGATTCCACATCCCCATTATTTCACTCCTAAATGCAGCTCTGTAATGAAGAGAATAAAGCGCGACTCTCATCCACTGGTCTCCTGGTTAAGAGTCTACACTCAAAGTTTCCTTGTTGGTCTAGCCCTGTCCAGCATGGGCAGACATACTGCCAAGCCCCGCACACACTGAGGAGATGAACCAAACGATACCTGGGTCACAGCTGACTCCTTGCCGTCAGAACAGCTGCACGTGCTGCCCTGGGTGAGCCCAGGCAAGCACCTGTGCCCACACCTGAGCATATTCTCTCCACACACTTAGCTGTGTACTGACTTAATTCCATCCCTGGAAAAGTCTAGAAGGGTGCAGAGCAAAATGTTAACAATGGTCCTCCCTAGGTGCTAGGTTTATTGATGAGTACTAGCTTTCGTGTTTTTGTCTGCTGTGTACAGTTTTTATAACAACAACAAAAACATTGAACCCACCCCAAAAGGGAGTTAGCATAGTAGGTGGTACCAGTCCTGCTGTGGGACTGGAGGCCTGGCCTTGGCTCTGGCAAGAATGGATGTTTCCTCAGGCCCTCCCCATCTCTGCCATTCCACCAGCCAATAGCCCCCTGCTTCTTAGTTAGGATCTGGGGGGACCCCAGCCCTGCACCAGGAACTCACAGTCTGCCCTTCCAGTTCCCTAGCCTGACCTCAGTCCATACAAATCGCAGTCACCTTTATGGGTCATGGTGTCACTTTCTCCAAGTTTAGCCACTTGTTCAACCAGTCTGAAAATATTAACTGGATAATGCCAGCTTAATGCACACAGGTTAAGCTGACCCTATTCGGAGTAGGATGATGATGATGAACTCTCACGCCACTTAAGTCTGGCCCAACCGGTACATGGATCAGTTCCTTGCCCAGTATGCCCACGCTGTTAGAGATTTGATAGCTGTGTCAATTATCATGTGGTGATATGGTGCCAGAGATATGAAGAATTCAGTGCTACCCAAGGTTTCAAGCATCCATTACAGGTGCTATGGATAAGGGGACATTACTGCATAATAAAAGAGGAGCCTAGAGCCAGGGCTGTGGCACAGCAAGTTAAGTGGCCATCTGCCACACCATGGACAATACCATACAACAACCACTTCCAGTCCTGGCTGTTCCATTTCCAATTCAGCTCCCTGCTATCATGTCTAGGAAAGCAGCAGAAAACAGCCCAGAGTCTTAGGCTCCCACCACCCATGTGGGAGACCACGATGCATTTCCGGCTTCAGTCCAACTCTGTTACAGCCATTTTGGGGAAAGAACCAGTAGATAAAAGACCTCTGCCTTTCAAGTGAACTCATGAATCCTAAAAAATAATAATAACAATAATAAAATAAGAAACAAAACCAAATGAGGTGGACTCCAAGCAAGGCACTGGCTCTAATGATCACACGGAACTTACTCATGGCCTGGCCTGGCCAGGCTGGGACCTGCCCAGCTGACGCCCACCTTTCCCGCAAGCTGGACAACAACAGCCCTGCATGCTTCGCTGCAGGGCCAGAGAGACAGGCTTTCACACTCCTTATCATGCTTAAATTCTCTGGGTCCCTGCAACAGCAAATCCTGATAGAACACAGGGGGTAGCTGTGTCACCATGGAGACAGGATATCACAGCCCCACAGGTCATCAAGGAAATATTCACAACTTCCAACAATAAAGGAAGTTGGCTCCGGATAAGGAAAAACTTAGAAACCAAACCCTGGCTGGTTCTCAAATGTAACCCAGGTATGTTCCTGGCATCAGGAAAAAGAGGAAAACCCTGGTGTGCTCCTGGGAGACTGTGGTCTTCGGGGCTGTGTTCCTTCCACCCACTTTAGCCAGGGCAACTGGCAGTCGAAGGTGCTACCTGGTCGGCTTGAATGACACAACAGGTGTGCCAGAGAAGAAAGATTTCATCCCAAGGGAGTTGGGGCTGAGCCCCAGACCCTCACCCCCACTGGGCATCCATGGGGTCTCAAGGAGCTAACTGTGCATGAAGCCATCCAGAGGGAAAAAGAATTACTGTCAACCTGGTAGTTAGGCTCAGAAAAGATGAATGGGGACAAACAGCTCAGGTGGAAGCAACGCGGCCAGGTACAAGCAGATTTTCCCCCAAACAGGAGGGACAGCTACTTCTGAGTGTATCCAGGCTCTACCAGCTGGGACCAGAGGTGGGGACCCCTCTCTTGCATCTGTGACCTCCCTGGACACAAGGTTCCTAGAAACAAAGCCTTCAGCCCCAAGATGAGCTCATGCCAAGCCTCAGAGCCCACAGAGGCCAGCTCTACCATGTTCCGGCAGCATCACAAGTCCCCTCCAAGCCTGCTTCCCAGGTGTGGCATGGAGGGAAGAGGATATGACAGGGGCCTGGTGCAGCCAGCAGGCTGTCCCCATCAGTTCCAACAAGGACTCTCTGTCTGAGCCCTGTTTGCTTCAAAAACAGTAAGACCAGGTGGGAAGGAGAGACAAGGCCAGAGGGCCCAGGGTCACAGGTGACAGAAGGTTTCCCCACCAGCCAGCAGCTCTACCAGGAACTAGGCCTGCCACCTCTCTTGACTCCTGCACCACCCATAGGAGTGAACCCTGTTGGAGCAGCGCCAGGAATGTCCCACAGCCACTCCTGCCTGCCTCCCTCCACCTCAGCCCAGGAATAAGGCTGCCCCGCCTTCCAGCCACGTCCACCTGCCTGCCGGGTGCCACCCCTCATCCCCTTCCCCATCCAGGTGCTTCCATGGGTGGCCCCAGGGAACACGCGTGAATGAATGGAGCCCGTGTCCCCACGGAAGAGTCGGGAGCTTGGCAGGGCACGCGGGGCGAGGGCAGAGTAGTGCCTGGAGCCTGTATCTTGGGTGCCTCACGTTAAATCTGTCGGCCTGGCCCCCAGCCCTGCAGCATAACCAGTTCACCAGAGACTCAGTAACACATTGGCGGATTCCTGAGATTTGTCTGGTTTCCCTTTGCTTAACTTGCCTGCCTCCATCGTCTGTTCCCTCAGAGTCCCCAGGACTCGTCGTGCCTGTGTTATCCAGAGACCCCTGCCCCCTCTCCACCTGGGAGAGACTGAGACACCCCACCACCACCCGGCACTCACAGCGGGTTCCAGCGCTCGGGCAGGCGGCGGTGCAGCGAGATGCGGTCGCTGAGGTAGATGTTGATCTGGTGCTTCCGCACGCTCTCCTCCTGCAACCTCAGCTCCTCGCCCTGCAGCTGCAGCCGCACCGCCTCGCCCCGCGCACCCAGCGCGTCCGCGGGCACCGGCGGCCGGGGCAGGACCGGTTCACGCCGCCCGGAGAACGAGGAGCCTCGGGGAGTCGCAGGTCTCGGCTCTGCGACTGCAGTAGCAGCTCGGCGCCGCGCTCGCAGTATGGAGCTCAGCCCGGCCAGCGCCAGCAGTGCCAGCAGCACCAGCAGCGCCTCCCGGCCCCGCCGCAGCCCCCGCGGGCAGCGCCGCCGCACCGCGAACCCCAACATGCGCCCGCCAGCTGCGGCCAGCGGTCGGCGCCCCCAGGCAGCAGCGGCGGCAGCGGCGGAGGCCGGGACCCGGATCCCGGAACCGCCGCGCGCCGCCCCGCCCCCGGCCCGCCCCACCTGCGCGCCGGCCCCTTCCCGCCCCTCCGGACGCGAGCGCGCGCGGCACCCCGACCTGGGCGCACGGCTGAACGCCACGGGGGCTCCCCCGATACCTCTACCACCGCGGGGACTGCCCGGGACTCGCCCCTCTTCCCCGGGCTGCAGGGCAGCGCTCAGGAGGGACCTCGGCTGCCTGTGCGTCGGATCCCCGCAAGGCCCCGCAGGCCGACTCAGCCACTCCGCTCGGCGACTGAGGGACCTGGAGGCTCCTCGCTGCAGACCCGCCCCTTGCCGTTATACTTGGCGCCCCCAGAACGCAGTCCCTTTCCTCTGGCCCCGTGTCCATAGCAGTTTCTATCCTTCACTCTGCAGAGGTCTCTGGATGAAACTGGCCCTTCCAAACACACGGCATCACACACGCCGGGCTCTCGTGTCCTGCGCAGGAAACCCAGCCTTGGCTACAGGTGTGCGTTGGGAGGATGGAAGGGGCTGTGGGCTGCCTGGCATACTTAACACAGACTGGAGTGGAGTCATGGGCCAGGCTGTTTTTTGTGGGCTAAACAGAAGCCGGAGGACAAAAGCAAACCTCAGCGATGAAGTCTGCAAGTCCCAGCTCCAGTTGCTAGGAGAAGGAAGAGAGGGCTTACACCATGTTTTATATACACACGGTTCCTCCGGCTTGAAATGCCTTTCCCCCGCCCTGCCAAAGCCCTTCCCTTCCTTCTACACCCTGCCAGGGACCACTACCTCAGGGGACCCTCGGCCACTCTATAACCTTTCAGGTTCGTCTAGGTTCCATCAGGGACACAAAACCAGAGATTTCCAGCGCACCATAGGGCCTGGTTAGGAGAGGCTGTGGTTAGAACAACCCTATTGGTTTGGGACCCACGCTAACGACCTCATTTCAACTTGATGGCATCCATAAAGACCTATTCTCCAGCAAGGTCACATTCACAGGTGCTGGGGTGAAGACTTCAGTTAATCTTTTGGTGAGGAAAGAGTGGGGGGACAGAGACACCACTCATGCCATGACACCATCACACGCTGACAGCACTTGAACTGTTGAGTTCATATCCTGGCTGTGTAACAGGCAGGCTATAAAAGAACAGCATCAACTGTGGCCCAGTCATGATCCCAGAGCTTAGTATGGTGGCAGACACAGACTAGATGCCAACGTGCTGGTTCTGCCTCACTTGCAAATCACCTCTCCTGGCAGGGTGTGTTTGAATTTGCTGGGGAGGGATGTGATAGAAAAGGTACAGCCTGGCTTAAAGTCCCCAGAGAGCAAAAGCATGAAATCCAGGGCTGGGGTTAGGAGGTTTGTTCCGGGCAGGGCCTCAGCCTGAGCTTTCAGAATCTCCCCAGAACTCCAGAGGGCCATCCCGGAAAGCAGAAGGGAAGCTGAGTGGGTGGGACACCAGCCCTGCCCAGGAACCACAGCCTGGACATGTTTGCCTGCATAATCCCTTGAGCTTCCTCATAACCCTGCACTCCTCTCCCTCCCTGTTGACCCACAGGACTGGAAACAAGATCAAACAAAGTACAATGTGCACAGCCACCACTACTGTTCCTGGGTGGAACAGGAAACAGAAAGGAGTGAGCAGGTGTGACAGGGCTGCTGGACACAGGCCAAAATCCCTTTTCCTCTTCCTTCTCCATAGGAGGGGCCTGCGCTTGGTGAGATTTCCCCGCCTCCCTTGCAGCTAACTGTGGCCCTGTGGCTAAGGGTGCTACAGATAGGTTGTAAGCAGTGGGCTTGGATGCCTCCCCAGAGGACAGTGCCCCCCAGTTCATCTAGGGTTTTACTTCCTTCAGTTTCAATTACCTGGAACCAACCACAGTTCAAAAACCATATTAAATGGCCTGGACCAAACAAGCTGCCCTGTCTTGCTCAGCATATCCACCCTGTATGTGCTACCCACCTATTAGGGACTCAGGAGCTGTCCTGGTTGTCACGGTGATTAGGGTCACGTGACCCTTACTTTACTTTTTGATGGCCTCACATCATGAGAGTGGCAAGCTTGACAATTTGATTATGGTATACTGTTGTAATTACTCTATTACAAGTGATTATTGTTAATCTCCCACTTGTGTAATTTAAAGATTAAAGCTTACCACTGGTGTGTATGTGCAGAAAAAAAAAAAAAACTAGTATGTACCAATCTTAATATCCTCTGGGATTCTGGGTATCCATTGAGTGTTTTATATCCCTTGAAAATCAGGGTGTGGGATACTGTAATACTGTCTTTAAAAAAACCTCCTTATCATTTTTTTTTATTTGTTTTAATTGGAAAGGCAGATATATAGAGAGGAAAGATAGAGGAGAGCTTCTCTCTGTTGATTCACTCCCCAACTGGCCGCAATAGCCGGAGCTGAGCCGATCTGAAGCTAGGAGCCTGGATATTCCTCCAGGTCTCCCATATGGGTGCAGGATCCCAAGGCTTTGGGCTGTCCTTGACTGCTTTCCCAGACCACAAACAGAGAGCTGGATGGGAAGCAGGGCCATGGGGACACGAACTGGCCCCCATGTGGGATCCTGGAGTGTGTAAGGTGAGGACATAGGCACTAGGCTACCATGCAAGTCCCATTCTTTCTTCTTTATGCTGGTTGGATTGTGGAGCCAAAGAAACTGTCTTGGGTCAAGAGGTAAAAGTCATCCATTGAGAACAGTGAAGGAGCAAGGCAGAAGGTACCTAACGCTGTGGACATCGAACCATTCCTGACTGCCTCCATCCTTCCTTTCAAGTTTCATTGTGTGAAAGAGAAATGCATATCACATTTCAGCCACTGCTTCTGTGTGTTCTGACCTAAGCATTCAAATCTAACCCTACCTGCTACTGATGACAACAGAATTCCCTCCAACTCTGCCTCCAAGAGCAGCCAAACCGAAACCACCAGCTCTTTATTGTCATCTGCCTTTGAATGGAGCCGCCTTCTAACTACTCTGAGCCACAGATTCCGGGAAGGCAGCAGCTTGGTAACTCCTGAGGTGAGGCATACATAGCCAGGAAGCAGCCACTACTTCTTGCCCTCACCTCTCAGATCTGTCAGGCAAGAAATGTGACCATCCCATCTCCATAGCAGATGGATGCTCCCGCTGACCATGCCAGCCAAGCTCAGACTGCAGCCCACCCAGCCAGCCCAGGCATCAGCCTGGTGGGTACAGGGGCCTCCATGGAAGTGGTTCCTTCCTACCCATTCAGGTCATCCCTGGCTATTCAGGTCATCTCCACTCTGGGCCCCAGATGGCCCAGAACAAAGATGTTCTTTTCAAGTTTCAGAATGCATGAATATTAAGGAGATAATTGGCTCATATCATGCTCTTCCAAAATGATTTGTTACTTCACAAGAGATAACTGGAACAAATGAATTATGTAAATCAATACTTTTTTTCCGTTCAGGAAATAATTATTAAGCGTCTACTGTGTGCCAAGCACCATGCTAGGGAGAAGCACACTATAATGAGCATGTGTCAGAGATAAAGCCAGAGACAAGTTAAAGGGATGAAGATTTGGTACAGTGGATAACATCTGGGACCCCATATTCTTCATCAGAGCACCCGGATCGGAGTCCCAGCTCTGCACCCAGTTCCAACTTCTTGCCGAGTGTGTGCTGGAAAGCAGCAGGTGATGGCTGAAGTGTTTGGGTTACCATCCCTGAAGACAGAAAGAAAGAGACAGAAAGAAATGGAAGGAAGGGAAGGAGGGAGGAACGGAGGAAGGGAAGAGGAAGGAAGGAAACAAGGAAGGAAGAAAGGAAAGCAATTTGTAATTTTTTAAAAAAATGACAAAGAGGCCAAGACTGAGGCATAGCTGGTTAAGCTACCCCCTGTGATGCTGGCATCCCCTTTGGGCACCAGTTTTTGTCCTGGCTGCTCCACTTCTAATCCAGCTCCCTGCTGATGGGCTGGGAAAGCAGTGGAAGAATAGTCCAAGTGTTTGGATTTCTGTCACCTACATGGGAGACCAGCGTTTAGCCTGGCCAAGTCATGGCCATGGCAGCCATCTGAATCAGCAGATGGAAGATCTTTCTGTTTCTTCCTCTTAGTAACTCTTTCAAATAAATAGATAAATCTTTTAAAAAAAAATAGTGAAAGGACTGATGTAAATCAGTAATACTTTGCTGCATTAAGAGTATACAGTATGAACTGGACTCAGCTTCCACCTGTGCTTGGGTGTCTGGGTGGTTAAAATAAGAATGAAGGAGGAGGTATTAAAAATGGCAGCGGGCTGGGCTGGTCAGCAGCTATGCTAAGCAGGCCAGCTGTGTGTGTGGACACTGACAGTGATCACAGGGAGATGCCGTCGTCCCTCAGAGACTGGGAGACCAAGCTCTCTGCTCTCCGATGGGGACATGGTAAATGGATGGCCTCAGTTCCTGCGGAAGGAATTGGTCAGATGTAGGAGGTCTATGTACATCTGCAAGGGTCAGAGGAAGGTTTCCAGTTGTAAGGCCTCTTCAATAAATGTTCTACGTAAGTATGCAAGTGGGGTGGGGGGATGGGGATCATGGTCAGATGCTGCTTAAGGCAGAAGATTCTTTCGCAGCCTGAGCCGTCTCAACAGGTGCTAGGGTTGTAGCCTTGGGCTCATTTCAAGATATGTATTTGAAAGGCACAGTTACAGAGAGAGAGAGAGAGAGATAAAAAGAGGTCTTTGATCCACTGATGGCTTCAACTGCCAGGGCTAGGCCAGGCCAAAGCCAGAATCTTCCATTGGTTCTCCCACATGGGTGGCAGGGAGCCCAAGGACTTATGACACCTTCCACTGCTTTCCCAGGCACATTAGTAGGGAGCTGGATAGAAAATGGAGCAGCCAACTGAGTCCCAGTTGCTCTGCTTGTGATCCAGCTCCTTGCTAATGTGTTTGGGAAGGCGCAGAGGATAGCCCAAGTGCTTAGGC